CCCCCCCCCCACTAAAATCGAACTCATCCGTGTCACCTGCGTGCCACAGCGAAGCGCGTGACAGCTACACTTTAGACGCCAGTGACGCACTTGTTAAGATATAAGTCATGACATAAGGGAGACCAACAAAAAAAAACCAACTGAACGGCACAACAGACGAAGACCTTAACAACTTTACCTCCATGACAGCTCTATGTTACTCCAAAGTTTTGGAACACACTGGCGAAATCGTAATCGATAGGGACAGGTTTTATGGGTACACTTCTTTACAGACAATCCGTAGAATCCAAAATAGAAGAGGACAGATAGGCATACGTCTTCACGAACAATCCGTTGAGTCCCAATACTCAGGGACAGAGGCACATGTCTATACGAACAATCCGTAAAGTCCCAATAGACAGGGATATAATACTCTACTGGGTAAACGTCTTTACAAACAATCAGTAGAGAATTAATACACAGAGACAATCATATTTATTAGCACACGTCTCAGAGAACAAGCCTTCGCTTCACATCAGACGCAAAACACTGTGAAACTGTATAATTTTATGGATTCTCAACAAACTTCAAGCTAACAACGAGCTACAACTGTTCTCCTTCTCAAATAAGCAAGGGGGGAAAATGTAGGTGTCCCGCGTCCCTCTGTGCGGATGAAAAACTTAACTATTCAGCACAAAAATACACCGTACTCAAAACCTAACAACATCAAATTATCAGAGCGCTGCACATCGTCGCTCGTGACATTTTGTCATGTGGTCTTTCACAAGGAGCTGCCAGACAACACGTGGGATCGCATTACTGGAAACTGACAACCCACCAAGAGCCCCGCAAGTGGACCTTAGTCCTGCCTAGCTTTTCAGTTATCCATTATGAATGGCACTCTCGGCGTCACGGTGGCAGTCATCCATCCCCAACACGACGTACGTGTGTTCGTTCACCAGTCTGCTGTCATGTTTAAATGTACAGTATCATAATGTGCAGTTTTTACAATTTTACGGAACAGCCAACACCC